CTTGCAGAGGACCCGGGTTTGATTCCCAGCACCCACATGGCGGCTGACAATCATCTGTAACTCCAGTTCTGGAGGATCTGATACCCTTCTCTGACTTCCGTGGGTATTGCACAACACGGGTGCCCCTATCTAAATGCAGGCAATACATGTGTACACATAAAAAAAGACTGGGCAGCTTGGGGTACAGTAGACACTTGAGTGAGTAAGGTCTGCCTGGCAAGCGTCACCCACGGGGAGTGGGCGGGAGGGTGACACTGCCCCCTCAGGGTCCGTGGCCTGGCGGGGCTGGGGTCGGTGCCTCTGGCAGCTAAGGCCTGTGTGTTGGGAGGGTCCCCCAGGTCCCTCCAGAGTACAGCTGTTGGGGGCTCGCCTCTGTCTGAAGCCTGTGGACAGTGGGGTCCTGTCTACTCAGGCTCCATAGGCCCAGGCCTGTGGCCCCTTAACTCCAGTTCCAGGGGAATCTGAAGCCCTCTTCTGACCTCCGTGGCATTGCATGACATGAGTGAACTCACATACATGCAGGCAGTACACTCATACACATAGAATAAAAATAATAAATAAAATATATTTTTTAAAAAGATATTTTCTTGGACCTTGGAAGGTAACATTCAACCCTGCAGGTATAAACCATGTACTTCAACCAGGACACCTCTTAGCCTGGTGTCAGTCAGCAGGGACTTCATTTACAGTGCTCACTGTTGGTTTGCAGTCATATGGGGCATCACACATACCAGGTGCTCGAAAAACATCATTGAAAAATAAGCAAATGGGTGGGTGGATGGATGGGTGGATGGGTTGGTAGATGAGTAGGTGGATAGATAGATGAACATATGGACAGATGGGTGAGTGGGTGGATGGATAAATGGATGGATAGGTGGATGGATGGATGGAGGGAGGGATGGATAGGTGAATGGATGGAGGGATGGATAGGTGAATGGATGGATGGATAGGTGGATGGATGGATGGAGGGAGGGATGGATAGGTGACTGGATGGATGGATAGGTGAATGGATGGATGGATGGATGGATGGATAGGTGGATTCATGAATGAATTAGCAGATGGATAGATGAGGAAACGGCTGGATGACTGGCTTCTGCAATGAAAGAGGGAAAGAATGATTGCATATGGGACTCTCCCTTGGGATGCTCAGTGTGAATCTGAGGACAAAGAAACCCAGGCCTAGGTTTCATTTGACAACCCTTAAAGAAGCAATTTCAGGACACTGTATTCTCATCTATCTTGCCTTGGTGACTATAGATTATCTGGGGGAAGGTCAACAGATGAAGCCAATGGAACCAAAGGCAATATAAAACCACCAGCAAACTGAGTGGCAGCAAAAGATGACACTACACACGTCAAGAGGTGATGTTGGGGGAAGACCTCTGAAAACTTAACCAGGGACAGGGCAAAGTTCGTGGCAAAAATTAAGCCAACTGCAGTGAGAATGAGCTGACTGGCAGGAGGAGCTGAGCTTTGGACAGAGGCTCATCAGTCAATCATGAATCTTGCCTTTGCTTCAGTGATTACTTCCCCAAGTGCCCCAAGTAATACAAATGGCCCCCTAAACAGACAACAGGGGACCATTTCCACTCATGAGAAGACAAAATCCACACTGCTCAGAAGCTGTTTTCACCTTTTATGAAGGAAAATCCAAATCATGGTAAGCTGATCTACGGGGAGGGTGGACACAAGCACCTGTCCCCACTGCTTGTGGGAGAGCCTTTGCCAGTGAGTGCCTTGGGATATTGTACTTCAAAATTCTACCCCTACCCCCACTTCGCCTCACCCCAGCTACACAATATCTCCAAGTCTGTCTAGTTTCCTTTCTTTCTTGCTTGTTGAGACAGGCTCTTGCTCTGAAGCTCAAGCTGGCCTCAAACACATGGCAATCCTGCCTCAGTCTCCCCAGTGCTGGGATTAGAGGTATGTGCCACCACACTTGGTACCATTTTTCCATGTTCCACTGACACTATTGTGGAAGTTACTCATCAGATCATTGATGTAAAGAGAGATACTGGAAGCAACCTATGTATCTGTCAGAAGGGCCTGGCTCCGTTCATTATGGATGATCAAAAAAAAAAAAGGTAGTTGCTAGGTGTGGTGGCACAAAGTTGTAATTCCACCATTCAGGAAGCTGAGGCAGGAGGACTAAGATTCAGGGCAGCCAGAGCTATATATCGAGAACTTGTCTTTAAAAAACAACAATCATATCTTGCACACGTCACTCAGTTTATATACAATACTATTCAAAATGATTTCCATGTATTACCTAATAATAACAAGATCAGATGTGTCTCATTCATGGTGCATTTAAAAAAATTTGTTTACTATTTTTATTTAATGTGTATGCGTGTATTGCCTGCATGAGGTTAGAAGAGGCTGTTGGATCCCCTGGGACTGGAGATATGGACTGTTGTTAGCTGCCATGTGGGTGCCAGGATTCAAACCCGGATCTTCTGCAAGAACAACCAGTGTTCTTAACCGCTGAGCCATCTCTCCAGCCCCTCATAGTCATTTTTTAGATAAAGAAACTAATGCCCAAAGATGCTTGGAAATGTGTCTGAAGTCACATGCCTAGAGCAGCAGGAAAACAGGCCAGAGAAGGACAACATAGGGGCCTGGGACCCCATCCATCTATCCATCCACCATTCATCCATCTATCAAATTATCCATCCATCGTAACATCTATTCATTAATTCTTCTATCCACCTATCCATCTACCCGCATAACTATCCATCTACCCATCCATCTGTTCATCCACCTATCTAACCATCTATTTATTCACTCATCTATCTATGCATTCATCCACCTCACATATGACCATCCCCCATACATTTATTCCCTTCCCATACATCTACCGATCCCCTCATCCACCTATTTATTCACCCATTTTTCCATCCATCCATCTATCCCCATCCAGCCAACCATCTATTCCCATTCATCCACCTATCCTCTAGCCATCCATCTCACTATTGATTCTCTCATCCCCCATCCATCCATCCACACATCTGACAATCCCCCATTCATCTATTCACCTACCTCTTCACCCATTGCACAATCCATCTACCTTCCATCAATCCACCATCTGCCCTCATCCATTCATCCATCCTCATTCTCCCTTCCAGTCATCCTCCAATTCCCCATCCATCCATCCACCCATTCATCTATCCACATATCTGTCTATCCCCCATCTGCCTATCCATTGTCCATCCTTAGATGCCCCATTAAGCCCCCATCCATCCACCCATACTTCCCCCATCCATCTATTGCCCATCTATCCCCCATCCCAAAATATCTCCATCAACCCATCTCCCATTCATTTATCCCCAGCCATTCACTCACCCATCCTCCCATCCATCCATCTCCCATCTATCCATCCTCCATCTATCCATCCACCCACCTAACCATCCATCCATCCATCCATCCTCCTATTCCCCAACTCATCCAAACACCCATCACCATCCATCCACTTATCCCCTGTCCATCTATCCCCCATCCATCCATGTATCCATCCATCCACATATCCATCCCCTACCTGTCCATCACCAGTCCTCTTCAGATGGCTTTCACATCACAAACTGAAACTCACATTAAGCATGCACACTTGTTCCTCCTCCCAAACCCACTGCCATTCCCTTGTGTGCAAAGTGGGACCTGCATGCAGGTAGACTAAGACATACACATTAGCACAAGAGAACTTGGCTCTCTCCATTATAAGATATACAGCAGGCGTGGAAAAACAGAGACAGTGTCGTGTGACCAGTGTGGGAACAGAAGAGAAAGTGTGTGACCCTTGTCTCCCCTGTGCATCCTACAGGACCTGGGGATGATACTCTGAGTGTGTATCAGGAATCTAGAACCCAGAGCACAGATCAAATATTTTTTATTATGCCACAGACTGATAACTTCATTTCAGTCTCTGGATATAGGCATTCTTGAAACTTGACCTTATGTCACACCCTGAATGCAGCTGTGCCTTACAATCTACTTCAAATTTCTTGAATCAATAAATCCATGTGCCTCCTATCTTTTAAAAACTAAGGTTTTTAAAAAACATTTTATTATTTTTATTTTATGTGTACGAGTGTATTGCCTGCATGTGTATAAGTGCACCCGTGTCATACAACGCCCTTGGAGGTCAGAAGAGGGCGTCAGATCCCTCAGAACTGGAGTTATGGACGGTTGTTAGTGGCCATGTGGGTGCTAGGAAACGAACCTAGGTCCTCTGCAAGAGCAGCTGGGACTTTTAACTGCTGAACCATCTTCTGCCCAGTCCCAGATTTTTTGTTTTGTTTTGTGTTTTGTTTTGTTTTGTTTTTTGTTTTGTTTTGTGAACCAAGGTCTCAGTACCAGAGGATGGCCTTCAATTCATGAACCTCCTGCCTCTGCCTCTAGAGTGCAGGAATTATAGGTGTGTACCATCATGCCTTGCCTGATCAGTTCTTATGCTTCTGTCTCTTATCTTTAAAAGCATTCTGACCAGGGCTGGAGAAATGGCTCAGCAGTTAAGAGCACTGACTGCTCTTGCAGAGGACCTGGGTTTGGTTCCCAGAACCTACATGGCAACTCACAACTGTTCTAGTTCACTCCAGTTCCAGGAGGCCTGATGACTTCTTTTGGCCTCTATGGGCATTGGATGCACTTACATACATGCAGGCAAAACACTTGTACACATGAAATTTTTAAAATTCAGCATTATCAGTGACACTTAGTGCTGCACCATCCACCGGCATCCCTGACATATTTGGGAGTTGGACACATCACAGCTCCCTACTCATACCCACCTGGGCTCCCTTCCCTGGGAAGGCCTGCTTGTCTGTAGAGCTAGCCCAGGTTCTCACTTCCCACCCAAAGCCTTGCTCCAGTAGCACTCTTCATGCCGTGTTCCTCAGCAGCACCCAGGAAACAGCTAGTATACTAAATGAACCACAGAACAGCCAACCAGTAGAGTGTTGCCTCCTCTGACAGTGGATTTTATTTTTATTTTTATTTTTACTTTTAAGGGAAGAGCATAAATGCAATCTCCTACGACCACAAGTTATGCAGTGGACTTTCCCACATTTGGGGAAAATCTCAGGGTCAGCACATCTGGAATGCAATGAATAAGCCTCACCCTGGAAAACTATCTTCCTGATCATGGTGTCTCCCCTGCCAGGTAAGTCCCCCCAACACTGTCTTCCCCCACCCCAGCCCCATTTAAACAGCAGGCAAAGTACATGGAAAGACAGAGCACCTTCAAAGACAACCACTGGAGGAGGGTAGCTCTCAGCAGCAGCAGGCCAGTCTTTATAAGAACCCTGTCTCCTGGGCCCACCTGCCGGGCCAAACTCTCTAGCACATCAGAAGCAAAGAGAAAAATACTGTCTGGGAGCTGTGAAGAATTGGTTGGGGAGCAGAGGAGAGCTGTCCCTCCACTTCCAGCTGGCTCTGCTTTCCCGAGTCCCCAGCTAGCCAAGTTCTTCATCTAATTTAGCTGCTTCTCTCTTCCCAGCCGCCAGCAGCAGAGACATGTAGGAGCCAGGCAGTCCAGCCCCCCTGCCTCTGAGGACTACAGGGAGGCTCAGACGTGTGCAAAATGGGTGGAGGGAGAAAATCCTGAAGAAAAAAGATCATAACTAGAACGCTCTCTGTGTGGCAGAACTTCAGTTAACTCAGTTCATCCGCCCCCACTCTGGGTGGTGTGGGTTTTAGTGTGTGATCCCCATTTTACAGATGGAAAGAGGGGGTGATGAGAAGGAGGGCACACAATAACGGTTAGAATTCTTTTAGAATTGGGCTGGTGAAATGACTCAGTGGAAAGAGGTGTTTGCCACCAAGATAACAGCCTGGTTCCATCCCTAGATCCCAATCCCTGATGGTAGAAGGAGAGAACTGACTCCTGAAAGCTGTCCTCTGACCTCCACATGTGTGTCGTGGCATGCGCATGCCCACACTCACACTCACATCAGACACAAGCAAGCACTGGAGCAGAGCAGGACAACATCCACGGTCCTCGATGACCTAACCATCGCTCTGTATACCGCAGTTGCTAAAATCAGCAGATCCAGCACTCACACCAAAGGAGAGGATATCACAGACCTGAAGCTCAGGAAATGGGTCACTGGGACCCAGCTCAGAGGCCACAGGCACCATGGAGACTGAAGGTTTCTTAGTTAATCCCAGAGTCAGACGCCCTGGGCCACCCCCAGCTGTGTGACCTTAGGCAAGTACCTGAGATTCCAAATGTGGAAGTGAAATGTGATTTTTAGCACCGCCCTTACGGGCTTCTTTGGGGATCACAATATGGTACCCACTGGTGTGGCTCTAGGATCTGTGGATGCAAGTGCTCTGGAGGCTGAGGCAGGCCCTCAAGGTCAAGAAGAGCCTGGTTTCCGTGAGACCCAGATAAACAAATAAACCAACAGAATCTACTAAATTCCAACTGTTTTAAGTTACAGAAGAGCTGTGAGCTGGTGTGGGGATGGGGTTGGGGGCTGCTGGGAGATGGCTGCCTCCAGCCCCAGTTCACAGGGTAGCCCCAGGTAGCTGTCTGCCCTGAGGGTGAGGATCTGGCAAGTCTCTTCAGCTCCCTTTCCCCTTGACGATAGAACCTGCATACTCTGAAACAGCAGCCTCAGCACTTTTTAAGATGAAAGCTTTGGAAAAGCCTTTGTGCAGAGGGAGGATGAGGAGAGCTCAGAACTGGCTAGCAAGATGCTGGGGTGGTAGGAAAAAATGCTTCTAAGGCCAAAAGGGATGAAGAAGCAGCTTCTCCAGGATGTTACACATCCAGTGGCTATGGAGGTCTTCCCACTGCCTCTGCAGGAGGGGCAAGAAAGCCCAAAGGTCTAGCCTTCACCAAGAACTCTATACCCACCCCAAATGAAAACATATTTTAAGCCTTTTTAAAGACTATTTTGGAGCTGGGAAGATGGTTAGTCAGTAAAGTGCCTGCCTTAAAAACATAAGGACTTGAATTCTAACCTCAGCACTCACATAAAAGCCAGGTGAGGTGGCACAAGCCTGTAATCTTAGCACTGGGGAGGTGGAGACAGGAGGATCCTGGGGGCCCACCAGCAAGCTAAATTGGTGAGTTCCAGGTTCAGTGGTGCTGTTTAGGGGCAGTCATGGAACCTTTAGGAGGTGTGGCCTTGCTGGAGGAAGTCTGTGGGATGAGACATCCTGTCTGGCTATCTGTTTCCTGTGCCAGCTGGGAGGCCCTAAACAGCCCCACCAACTGGCCAAGTATTCAAATATTTGGAGCCTATGGGGAACATTCATATTCGAACCATCACAATTTTCCAAACCTGCTATTCAGAAAAGCTCCAGAGGACATGATTGCATGTACTATGTGTGTAAATCATGCCTCCCAGAGTTACCCAAAATAGTGGTCAAAACCTGTGGCTGTGATTCATGCCTCTCTCTGCTGAACTGGCAGTGTGGTATGGATTGTGTTGGACACAGCACAGTCATCGCTGATGGGCCAGTGTGGAGAATGGAACCAGAGAGGTGTGCCAGAGGAGAGGTTTCAGGATGGCCTGAGCTACAGAGTGAGACCCCATTTCAAAAAAAAAAAAAGCCCGGTGTGGCATCAAAACCTGTGGCTGTGATTCATGCCTCTCTCTGCTGAACTGGCAGTGTGGTATGGATTGTGTTGGACACAGCACAGTCATCGCTGATGGGCCAGTGTGGAGAATGGAACCAGAGAGGTGTGCCAGAGGAGAGGTTTCAGGATGGCCTGAGCTACAGAGTGAGACCCCATTTCAAAAAAAAAAAAAGCCCGGTGTGGCAGTACATGCCTTTAATCCCAGCACTGGGAGGCAGAGGCAGGTGGATCTCTGTGAGTTCAAGGCCAGCCTGGTCTACATAGTGAGTTCCAGGACAGCTAGGGCTACAGGGAGACTCTGTCTCAAAAAGTCCTAAAAATAATGGAAGGAAGGAAGGAAGGAAGGAAGGAAGGAAGGAAGGAAGGAAGGAAGGAAGGAAGGAAGGAAAGAAGGAAGAAGGAAGGGAAGG